TTTCCTTGCTCTCTTTCAAATTCATGGACTGTCTTTTTTATTGTTACATGAACATGTTATATTCATTTATGTATGTTTCTAAGTAAGTTCCTGGATAACTTGTCCAAGGTCACAGAGCTAGCAAATGACAGTCACAAGTCTACTTTGTACTGCATTGCATGTAGAGACGTGTCCACCGAAGTACTGTGGGCACAGTCAACAGTTAATGTAATAATTCATTAGCATGGCAGCAAGTCCTGACGGAGTGTCACAGAGTAGTTAAAAGTAATGGCAATGCTGGCTGTGACACGCATCTTTAACCCCAGCACTTGAGAGGCAGAGGCAGGAAGATCTCTGTGAGTTCAAGGCCAGCCTAGTCTATGTAGTGAGTTCCAGGACAGGCAGGGCTTTTTGGAGACCCTGTCTCAAATAACAATAATAATAATAATGAATAATGCACATGTGATCAATCTGGATAGATCTCACAAACAAATTGCTGAGGGGAAGGGCACAGCACTTGAACAGAACATGAAAGGCCCCTGTTTAATTCCAGCACTGAGAATAAGATTTAAAAAACAAATCTGCCAGGCGTTGGTGACGCATACCTTCAATGACAGCACTTGGGAGGCACAGGCAGGCACATCTCTGTGAGTTTGAGGCTAGTCTGGTCTACAAAGCAAGTGCCTGGATAGGCTCCAAAGCTATACAGAGAAACCCTGTCTCGAAAAACCAAAACCAAAACCAAAACAAAAAACTAAAAACCAAAAACACAGAAAGCAAAACTTCCTTATTCATGGAGACCAGTCCATGTCCTAAATCTATAAAAGTATACATTAGGAAGATCCAAACATGCTGATGTTTGTCTCACTGAGGAGGGGAATGGAGTCAGGGAAACAAACAAATACAGTGGACTCATCTGCTAGTGTTCTTACTTTATAGTTCTTATGTATTTATAGCTCCTAAGCAAAATGGGAGAAGCTTAACCCCAATCCAGAATGCTGTTTTCTATTTATCAGGCTTGTGGGGGTGGGGGCAGAAGGAAGTCAGTTCTGCCCTATACTTAGGGTTGATTGCTTTAGAATGGTTTCCTTTAGGTACTGGCTCAAAACATGTTAAGCGTTTCTTTAAAAATACATGTTTGGCTATTCCCTTGCTTCACTTTTCTGCATCTGGGGGAGGGCAGGGTAAGTTGTAATCAAATGTTAATTGCTCAGGTGGAAAGCTGCAGTGATTAGAACAAATTACTCCCTTCTAGCGCCTCTTAAAGCTGGTAGGCAAAATGGTTACCTAGAAACACAGTCTCACTAACCAATCCTCTTCCTGTATTTGCCAAGGTCAACACATAAAACCACAGGGTCACAAGCTGACAAGTTTCCCTATAACTTAAAAATAGGTTCTTAGAGGTTAATGTTTTCACATCATCACAGGCTAATGGCTGCAATGAAGAGGTCAGGTCTGAAAGGGGGAGTAGCTTGGGGTTAAATTGAAATTGTTTTTTATTGTCAGTGTCTCCCCCATTCTAAAGCAATGAAAGAGTAGAGTTACCTCAGGTTGTTTCTGTAGCACTGGGGCCAAGCCTATGCCCTTGTACATGGTGGGTAAATCCTCCACTGTGGAGCTATTATCACCAGCCCTGAATTATATTGGAAAAGAGAATATAGTGAGCTTTGTCTCAAAAACTAAGAGCTACCAAGTCATATCTTATATTGCTGTACAGACACCGAGATGGCTCAGTGAGCAGAGACACTTGCTCTCAAGTCAGACAAGCTGAGTTAAGTAAGATTCCCAGAACTCGGGCTGGAGAGATGGCTCAGTAGTTAAGAGTACTTGCTGTTCTTGTGGAGAGACCCACGTTCAGTTTCTAGAGCCCATACCGGGCTTACAACCACCTAGAACTTCACATCCAGGGCACCGATGTCCTCTTCTATACTCAACACATGCACACACATGTGAATAAAATCTTTTTTTTTTCTCTTGAGACAGGGATTCTCTGTGGTTTTGAAGGCAAAATCATTAAAAATGTTTTTATTATATTTTTTAAAGATTTATTTATTTATTATGTATACAGCATTCTGCCTGCAGATCAGAAGAGGGAACCAGATCTCATTCCAGATAGTTGTGAGCCACCATGTGGAAACTGAACTGAAGACCTCTGGAAGAGCAGCCAGTGCTCTTAACTGCTGAGCCATCTCTCCAGCCCCTGGATTCTTTTTTGTGTGTTTGGCTTGCATGTATGTGTGTGGACCACATGTGTGCTTGGTGCCTTTGGGGGTCAGAAGAGGGCATCGGATCTCTAGGAACTGGAGTTCCAGATGGTTGGGAACACTATGTGGGTCCCAGCAAACAAAAACTGGGTCTCTGGAAGTGCCCTTAACTACTGTGCCATCCATCTCGTCAGCCCCCATAACGTCAAATTTTCAAAAAGAAAACAATTCCCAGGACCTGCGTGGTAGGAGGAGAACCAACTCCACAAAGCAGGCCTTTTACTTCTGTGTGCATCTGCACATATATAACATAATGAAAGTTTTAAAAAGGTAAAATGTTTTAAAACCTTTAATGAAGTGTGGCAGAGCAGTGTGTACCTGTAATCCCAGCCCTCAGGAAGATGAAACAGGAGGGTTGCCATGGGCTCAACTAGGTACTGGGATACAGAATATTCAAGGCTGGCTATACAGTGAGGCCAGACCCCACCTCAAAATAAAATAAAAACTTTAATACATAAAGTATTTCATACTCAGAAAACCTATTTCATTGGATTTTAATATATACCATTTAGAGGGAAAGGAGGCATTCAAAAATTGAGTAATATTGTTACTCAAGTTTGATTTTATTATATGCTATTAATAGTGATCATTTCTTCTTGAGAGTCTCACTATTTTTCCATGCTGACCCTCACCTTTTGGGTTCAAGATGTCTTCCTGCCTCAGCCTTCAGAGCAGCAGAACTGTATACATGTGACACAATGTCCAATTTTATTTATTTATTCTTTTTTGGTTTTTCGAGACAGGATTTCTCTGTATTGCTTTGAAGTCTGTCCTGAAACTCACTCTGTAGACCAGGCTGGCTTCGAACTCACAGAGATCTGCCTGCCTCTGCCTCCCGAGTGTTGGGATTAAAGGCGTGCGCCACCACCGCCTGGCCCATGTCCAATTTTTTAAGGGTTAAAAAAAAACACGCATGTGTGTGGGCATATAGATATGAGCACAGGTGCACTCAGAGGTCAAGAGTGCATCAGATTCCCTGAACTGGAGTTAGACTATTGTGAGCTGCCATGTGGATGCTTGGGTCCTCTTGGAGAGCAGCCACTGCTCTTAGCCATCCAGTACTCTCTCTAATACCTCTCCCCAGAGTTTGGCCCCTAGCACCCATGTCTGGCAGCTCACAGCTGCCAGTAACCCCAGGTCCAGGGGATCTGACCTCCTCTTCTGTCCTCTGCAGACCTGTGGCACACACTCACAGAAACATTTATTTATTTATTTTTGGTTTTTCGAGACAGGGTTTCTCTGTATTGTTTTGGAGGCTGTCGGTCCAGCCTGGCCTCGAACTCACAGAGATCCGCCTGCCTCTGCCTCCCGAGTGCTGGGATTAAAGGCGTGCGCCACCACCGCCCGGCCCAGAAACATTTATATATACATACAAATAGACATTAAAGAAGAAATCTTTAAAATGTCCATTTCCCTTTCATCAGATTGAGACTGCAAGTGGTGTCATTTGAATATCAATACTGGGGACAAGTTGTGTGTGAGCCCTTAAGGAAGCCTGCCTGGAGCTGTGCTTTGACAGAACTTGTACCACCATTATCATTTTCCAAGCCAGCCTTTAAACAGGACTCAGCACAGCAGCGATCCAGGGAGCTTTGAGGCTTTCAGCTCCGACAGGAACTGACAAGGCATCCAGCTTTTGAGTGAGCAGCTACTGTGTTCTGGGGCCCTCCGGCATGGATCACTATCTGCTATCCAGCCTTATAGCTTAAGTCCACCCAGTCAATCTTTCCATATTTCTTTGTTCACTTCCTCTAGCGAACCTAACACATTTCTCTATCTGCATCTCACTCACTTTGTCACTCAGAACCTTCTTTTATCATACATGTAGAACTCAGTAAGCCACAGGGCTGCTGGTCAAACTGTGGACTTAAAAACAAAGTACACCCAGACTGATGGCTGAGAAGTCAGCATGGGACTGACCTAGACCCCCTGAATGTGAGTGTCAGTGAGGAGGCCTCGGCAATCTATGCAGCCTTGGGTAGTATTTATCCCTGGCATACAAATAGACTGAGTGCCCATCCCACAATGAGGGATGCTCTCTCAGCCTGGACTCCTGGGGGAGGGCCTAGGCCCTGCCCAGGACGAAATGACAGACTCTGGAGATCCTCTACCGAGGGCCTCACAATCCCTAGGGAGCCTGATTGGGGCGGTGGGGGAGGAAGGGAAGGAGAGGGAGCTGGGATTGACATGTGAAGCAAGCTTGTTTCTAATTTAAATGAAAAAAATCTATTTAAAAAAAAAAAACAAGGAACAAGGATTAGACACAAAGCTTGAGTAGGGCGCATGCCCAGCACATGCCATGAGTTTGATCCCAGCACCACAAAACATACATAATGAAAATAAAGTTAAAACAATTTTCAGGCCTATGAAATTACTCCATAAATACACATTTAAATAAGAACAAAACACTTTATTACTCTTATTATTATTCTTTTTCTTTGAAAAAGCTCCTTATTCAAGACTAGCCTGATCTACAGAGTGAGTTCCAGGATAGCCAGGACTGTATCACAAAGAAACTCTGTCTTGAAAAAAACAAAAAGTAAAAAAAAAAAAAAAAAACAAGCCGGGTGTTGGTGCTCCCAGCACTCGGGAGGCAGAGGCAGGTGGATCTCTGTGAATTCGAGGTCAGCCTGGTCTACAGAGTGAGCTCCAGGACAATACAGAGAAACCCTGACTCAAAAAAACAAAAAACAAAACAAAACAAAACAAAAAAAACCACACACAAAAACCAACAACAAAAAAAGGAAAAACCTTACCCCAAGGAAATAATGACATTTATTTAACTTTCCCAAATCCAAAGACAACCAATGATTACATTTCAAATACAGATTAAAAAAAAAAGGATCACAGTACTCTTAATTGAAAAATCCCATGACAGTATTTTTCTTTCTAGTACGTAGCCTGCTGACTGACACCAAAAACAGATACTAAAACCCTAACAATGGTGACTTCTGCTGGGGCTTAGCTGGTATGGAAAAGGATCCGGCCAATGATGTGGTGGGTGTTCCAGCTTTCTAGTTAGCCAGGTTTACTCTGAGCTGAATACTCACACAAGAATGGATTCAACGTTAAGAAGAAGTTTCTCTACTGTATAAAGCACCTTTTAGGAATCTATTACAGTGGTGGTGGCTGATGTGCTCTCCCTCTATACACCCAGGTAGTGTGTGACCGCTCCTCTCCCTGAGAACCCTAGGGACAAGCTTGGCACAGGAATGCTTGGCACAGGAAGTTTCACTGCCTTCTGATCTCAGTTCAAAGACCGGGCATCCTGCCAGGGACACAAAAAAAGATTTGCAAGAGAGTTCAGAATTTGCCAACATGACTGCCAATCCTGTGTGTCCTGTTGGCAGGTAGGTAACAGAGGTAGTACAGCTGGTCCACTGCTGACTTCTGGACTCCTGGGCTTCTCAGTAGCAATACATTACATCTTCAGCTTGTTAACATAACTCTCAAGACTTGCTGAACCTTCCCAAGTAATATCCTGGCCTCTAGTCTGGCTTTGGAATACTCTGATTTTTTTGTTTTTCCGTATATTCTTCTAGTCGAAGAAGCCACTTGGTCCAATACTTGGAACAGAGTTCTTCGTCCATGAAATGAGGGTGGGCAGGAGACCCATCTTTATAGGCCACCACAATTAAGCCACACTGAACCTAGAAAGGAACACAGCACAGCACAATATTTCCTCTTGTTCCAGGGCAAACTAGCCAGTGCTAAGCACTCTACAGTGGTATCTCCAAATCAGTTTCTGAGGTGAGCTGGTTAAAGAATGCACCAGGACAACAATGGCAGAGAAAACACTGGAGAATGGACTGTGCTCACTAAGCAAGAACGGGGGTGGGGGAACGGCCCAGGAAGGGCAGAAGTGCTCCGTAGGCGAGAAAACCCTGAGGGACAGTCAGCAGTGTTATGAGTAAAGAGTAAAAAACAACACACACACAAAAGTTTATCGAGCAGGAGCTCAAGGTTCTGACCTGAAAACTGTAGTGGGTATCATGGTTTACAGCACCCATGTACGCCACAACTTGTAGTGGGTTGTCGTATGTATCTCGAATAAAAGGCTTTGGTTTTTCCGATGTCTTCCAATCAATCACACACAGCTTGCCACTAAGGAGAATTCAGAGGAAATCTTTGTAACAGTTCAAACTAAAACACTCAGGCCAGCAAGACGGCTCAGGGGGTAAAGGTGCCCACCGCCAAGCCTGACAACCCAAGTTCACCACCTGGGAGAGCATGGTAGGAGAGCAAACTGGCAAGATTGTTCTCAGATATAAATATAATGTAATAAAATATAATTTCAGAATACCCTGAAGCCAGGCAGAGGCAGGTAGATCTCCATGAGTTCAAGGTCAGCCTGGTCTATAGAATGAACTCCAGGACAGCCAGGGATACACAGAGAAACCCTACCTCAGGAAAAAAAAGCAAAGAAAATAGAATGAATTGGGAATCTCCTGAAACAGAAAAAACTACTAAGTTAACTCTTCTCTTTTTTCTCTTATGTACTTTAATTGTGGTTCTTCAACAACAGTTGCTTCTATCCTCCACTTTCCAAAACATGCTTTATTTCTTAGGGTTAGAAAAAGCACGACAGTGCTGGGTGTTGGTGGTGCACGCCTTCAATACCAGCAGTCAGGAGGCAGAGGCAGGCGGATCTCTGTGAGTTTGAGGTCAGCCTGGTCTACAGATCGAGTTCCAGGGCAGCCTCCAAAACAATACAGAGAAACCCTGTCTCAAAAAACCAAAAAAAAAACCCCCCAAAAAAAAAAAAAAAAAAAAAAGCATGACAGGTATGGTCTTCATGCCTAGAATAGCAGCTAGGATATGGAGGCAGGATGATAGCCTGAGTTCATAGGGGAGAAAAGCCATGATGGGTGGGGCTGGATAGGCTCAGCAGTGGGGAATTTTGTCACATACAAAGCTATTCAGGAGTAGGAAACACACTTTGAAGTTCAAATAATAATTCTCTTTATTCCTTGGATTCCTCTATTTTAACTGTGGACAGTAACTGAAATTACACCTATCATGGTCTTGGTTACTTTTTTTGAAGCACACTATATCAGTAATAAGGAACTCATAATGATTACACATCATGGTCCTTCAAAATAAAAGCTGAGGTTTAATCAGTAGGAACCTATGATATATAAACATAGTAAGGAGATATGGATCCTTGCATATGTAGACGAGCACTTCCTTACTTTATCCATTCTGGTATACTATACCCACTAACTTCAGACATTCAGAAGATCAGCGTGTAGGGCCAAGCTTGGTGGCACACATCTTTAATCCAAGCACTCAGGAGGCAGAGGCTGGCATATCTCCATGAGTTAGAGGCCAGCCTGATCTACAAAGTGAGTTCTAGGTCAGTGAAGGCTATGTGGTGAGACCCTGCCTCAACAAACAAAAACCAAACAAATAAATAACAACAAAAAAGAAGTAAAGAGGGCAATTCTGTCACTTGGGACAACACAGATGGATAAAGGACAGTATGCTAAGTGAAATAAGTCAGGGACAGAAATGATGTCAGTTACATGTGGCCTCTAAAAAGTTAAGTTCAGAAGCTGGTCATGGTGGCACCCACCTTTAGTCCCAGCACTTGGGAGGCAGAGGCAGGTTGGTCTCTGAGTTCAAGGCCAGCCTGGTCTTCAGAGTGAGTTCCAGGACAGCCAGGGCTACAAAGTGAGATCCTTGTCTCAAAAAACTATGCAGTCAGAGGTTCAGATGTCACGCACACAGATTCCACACTCTTCCCCCACATCCTGTTGTTGCTCGGAGGCTTTATTTGGAATGGGGTATCTGCAGAAGATAGCCACCCTTGGAATCTGGGCTGACTGGGGAAAACAGTAACAGCAGCAACTCAGAAACTGTAGAGCCCTTATCATATCAGCCACTGCCTGGAAGCCAGGAAGAGAGCGATGTTCAGGGCCAACAGATCACTGTACAATCTTAGGCAAAACAGGAAAAAAAAAAGGGGGGGGGACGTAAAAGAAAACAACACTGATTAAAAAGAAAAACAAAAATGCAGGCAGTACTCGACAGGGTCCAGCAGCTGGCATCTTTCTTGGAGAAAAGGGAAAGACTAGAGAAGGAGCCATGCCCGGGCTATTGAAAAGCACATTTTTCCCTCACTTTGATTTTCCTATTGTCACAGCCAGGGATACACAACTTTCCCTGCTATATCTCTCCCACCTCCTGCTCTAGTCTCATTTCTTATTTACTTTAAAAAGGTAGAGGCAAAAAAAAAAAAAGTTTGTAAAATCTTAAAAAAATTAAAAATAAAAAGTTAGAGGCTACAATTCCTCCAGCACATCTTGAAGTGGGTTAAGAGACGCCTGCCTGTAGACATCACTGCACTGCCCATTGTGATGGAAACTCTCCTGTACTTACTGGTATTCAGCCACACAGTCCAGCAGTCCTACGTACTTCAAGGCCTCATGCTGGACAGCACTTTCCAGAGCTTGTACACCACTGATTTCTTTCAAAATATGCTGGACACTTTTGATATAGCCACATTGGAGGTGCTCTTCTGTCCCTTTTAAGTTCTCTTGGGGTGACAGTATGCTTTCCAAAGCTTCATGAAACTGTTTGCCTTGAAAAAAGATATCTAAAAGGAAAATAAAGGAAAATGAAAACTGAACCAACCAAAACCAAGATTTAAACTATACACATATATGTATTATATATATAATATATATACACATAATACACAAGTTATCTTCAAAAATTTCTTTAAAGATTTATTTATGTACTATGTATAGTGATAACAAATCTCATTATAGATGGTTGTAATCCACCACGTAGTTGGCTGGGAATTGAACTCAGGACCTCTGAATGAATAGCCAGTACTCTTAACCTCTGAGCCATCTCTCCAGTCCCACAAGTTAACTTTAAATGGCAACCTGAGACACAAATTCTCATCTTTTTTTTTTTTTTTTTGCAGACAGGGTCTTGTTTGCACTATAGGCTGACCTTCAACATATAATCCGCTCACTTAAGCACCATATACTGGAATAAATAACTATACCCAGCAAAATTCAGTTTCCTATGAAACCCAAGAATGCACTTTCATACTCCCCACTCCCACCCCACCCCCCAGGGTCTCACTATGTAGCTCTGGCTGTCCTAGAATTTACTAGAACAGGCTGGTTTTGACTTCACAAAGATCTGCCTGCCTCTGCCTCCCAAGTGCTGGAATTAAAGGCATACCTGGCTTATCTTTAAAAACTATTTTTGAAAAAAACTACAGGGCAGGAAAGCTGTAATTTTTTTCTCTCTTTCTTTAATGTGCAAGAGTGTTTTGCCTAAATGTATATCTGTGTACCACATGTGTGTGCCTGTTGCCCATGGAGGCCAGAAAAGGGCATTAGGACTCCTGGGATTGGAGTTACAGGTGGTTGTGAGTCACTACATGGGTGTTGAAAGAGCAACAAGTCCTCTCAAATACAGAGCATCTCCCATTTACAAGTTTGTAAATCTTGGCGACTTCCCAGAGGAGGGAGACAGCTATTCCTTTCTGAGACAGCCATGTAGGTTTGGCAAGCAGTCATGTGGAAAGAATGAGAAGCCAAAAGTACCAGAAAAATGCATACATAGGCTTTGGTCAGTGTCCAAAGGATGGACAGACTGGGACACACACACACACACACACACACACACACACACACACACACACACACACACACGCACACACACACACATACCCACACCCATACTCACCCACACACACAGGAAAAAAAGGAAAATTTATAATTTTGAGTCAGGCAAATCTAAAGTAGCCCAGTGGCAACTGCATGGAGACCATTGTTTCATTAAGGGGACAATTATTCCTTCCATTTTTTTTTTTTTTTTTTTTTTTTTGGTTTTTCGAGACAGGGTTTCTCTGTAGCTTTGGAGGCTGTCCTGGAACTCACTCTGTAGACCAGCCTGGCCTCGAACTCACAGAGATCCGCCTGCCTCTGCCTCCTGAGTGCTGGGATTAAAGGCGTGCGCCACCAACGCCCGGCTGTCCTTCCATTTCTTAGTGTTGAGTGAATAAACCTTCCTGAGGGGTGTGACCCCTTAGTTAGGCTGACTGACCAGTCCAACTGGATAAATTCTTCCCTTTTGGGTAGGTTGTAATATTAGGTCTCTACCCAGGCTGGAGGGAGATTTCATACCCTTGAACAGAAGGAAATAGCTTTCTCTTAGTAGGCCTTAATGGAGACCTGATCAAGGCTACTGTGACAATGTTTGTCTAGCAGGCACAGCTAAGCTATCTCCCTAGCCCTTCCTATATTCTTTGAGGTTAAGAAAAGGAAACATAAACATATTTAATAAACACAAGAAATGCTGTATTGACACTTATTGTTGGTAAAGGAGAAGAGGGTGTGCACTGTTAGGCTAGGTAGTGGCTTGGTGTTTTCAAGCATTACTTAGTTTTCATACAACTCAGCAAGACAATGAATGTGGCTTCTCCACTAGCCTAGGCTGTCCTGTTAGTTTTCCCAAAGTAGGAGTACCCTGGCACAAGTCTCTTCCCAGCAGAGCAAGGGGCTAAGTCCAGGGAGCATGATTCAGATACACAGAGGTGCATGCTTGCAAACAGATTCACAGAAAGAGGAAAAAAATCTTATCTACACGGGGTCACAGTAAACCATATTGTTTGTCAAGTTCACAAAGACTTTGAAAGGCCAGTTCTACATAAACAAAAATTGAAATTGCTTTTGGGAAATTACTTGGAGAGTTAAATGCCAATTCAATTTTGGAGGTAAACTATTTTACTCTACACATTTTTGGCTCTGTTAAAATTACCTGCATGTGAAAGGCCTATAAGAAATTGAACCCTGGTGGAATTAAAGAGATGCAGTGTTAGCCTACACACTAAATGAATCAGAAGACAAACTTGTTAAAAACAGGTGGGGGTAGTTAAGTAGCAGAGCACTTGCCTAGCATACACAAGGCCATGAGTTTAACCACCAGCGACACCAAATAAAAAAATACTTCATCCATGGCCACGCAAATAGGTAACTCCCAGCCACAGACATACCCTGGTTAGATTCTTCATAAATATGCAGCCATGGACATCTAGATCTGAGGATCCCATGAATTTCAGATTCAGAAAACATTAAACATGAGTCAAGTTATAAAATTTAAAACAGGTTAACGGGTATGGTGTGCGCCTGTGATCCCTGCATTTGGGAGGAGGCAGGACAATCCTATGATTAAGGTCAGCTTCTTTTCTCCTACCATGGCATGAATCCACATATAATTACCCCCTTACTTGAAAGTGAATTTGCTCATTGCTCAAAGTCCATATTAACAGAGAAACACAGCAGAGCCTCAGTCTAAAGCTGACTAGGAAACTGACTGTCTGGACAGTGAGCTCATTCAGCTCCAAACAGAAGCTTTCTCCATTATCAAGCAAGTAACCAGTGCATTTCTTTACCCTATGTCAACGCTTACCTATATGACCCAGCAGTTTCTGTCTTTCATTTTTAAAAACATTAACCAGTTAGTTTAGAGTTTTGTATGTGTGCACTTGTGTGTGGAGGTCAGAGGATAACTTTCCAGAGATGGTTCTCTCTACAGTGAGAATTCTGGGGATGCAATTCAAGTCCTCAGACAGGGCAGCAAGGGCCGTCTCTCCTGTGGAGTCATCTTGCTGAGGCTGCCTTTACATTTATTATCAATAATTTTAGGATTTCTGACAACTAAAACAGTTTAGTGGTTATCATTAATCATTAGAAGGCACACCTGGGGCCGGGTGTTGGTGTTGCACACCTTTAATCCCAGCACTCGGGAGGCAGAAGCAGGCGGATCTCTGTGAGTTCGAGGCCAGCCTGGTCTACAGAGCGAGTTCCAGGGCAGCCTGCAAAACAATACAGAGAAATCCTGTGTCGAAAAACCAAAAAAAAAAAAAAAAAGAAAAGAAAAAAAAAGAAAGGAAGAAGGCACACCTGGCATATAATCATTGTCCCTCACAGCTGAAGAATGTTATAAAGCAAAGCCTTAGTCACTTTTGCATATCCAGGTACCACCTACTTAATTACATGCTTACATTATTTTGGTATTTTTCTAAGATATCTAAAAATAAGGACAATAATCTTAAAATAAAAGTGTTCATGTCACTATGGGTACGTATAATATTCTTGGTGGAAACAAAGGCTAAGCAATGTCTATGTAAGCCCCAATTTTAACCAAAGACATCCATGTAATCCCTAAAAGAATTGCTCATTCTCCTATGCCAATGGTTTGCTCCCAACTCTACCACCACCAAGATCTATCTCCTTATGTAGTCCAGACTGGTCCAAACATGTGATTGTCCCTCAGTCTCCCCAGGAAAGAGACTATAGGCATACATCACCATGTCTGGCTCAAGTCTATTTTTAAAAAGAATTTCCTTTATTTCGAGACAGGGTCTCATTATGCAGCTCTGGAACTCACTCTGTAGACCTGCCTGCCTCTACCACCCTAGTGCTGGGATTAGAGGTATGTGCTACTATGACTGGCTTAAAAGTCATAGTTAGGAAGCTACTCTCATTTATCTAATAAGAGTCGAAGGCTGTTCAGTATGACCAAAACACATTGTGCAAAAGTCTCTAAGAACTAGTAAAAAATTTAAAAATAAGAAAGTTAAAGACAAAAGTCTAACCAGTTTCTAATCAAGAATGTTTGATCAGTCCAATTAGTCAAAACATAAATGGGGATTATGTGTTCTGGATTGTGGCCAGTTTTCAAATTTACTGCTCAATTGACACTGATAAGCAGAACAATGAGTAATAATTAGATTCTGAGAAAAAAAAAACTATACTTTTGTCAAGAGATGGAAAAGAATTAATAATTTGCCAGGTGGTGGTGACTTTAGTCCCAGCACTGGGGAGGCATAGGCAGGCGGATCTCTGTGAGATCCAGCCCAGCCTGTTCTACAGAGTGAGTTCCAGGACAGCCTCCAAAACAATACAGAGAAACCCTGTCTCAAAAAACAAACAAAACAAAACAAAAATTGGTAAATTGGTAGTTTGTTTGCAAATCAACGCATTTTACGCATGTTTGTCAGACTGCTTGGTGCCTACTTCCCTACCATTTTTCTATGTGTCACATCTGTCTCTCTATCCAGAGGCAATCCTTTGTCTCTCCTGGACAAACATGCCTGCCCCCTTTTCCTGGGTTTATCTCTTATCCTCTGCCCTCTGGGGCAAACTGATCTCCTTTGTGCTGAGAACTTGGCCTTTCAGCTATGAAATGCTATTTGAAAGCAGTTCTTCAGTAAGTTGTTTTTTAAGCCTCATTCTTTTGACAGGAACGCTCTACACCCTAAAAACCAGTGACCACATATAACCAGAAACAAGAGAATTACTTTTAGTATATTCTGCAAATCCATCTTCTCCCAGCTCCCGAACCATCCGTTGTTTCCACCTCTCCAAAAAGAAACTCTGTTCTGGTGTCATGGTCTGCTGAAGGATGCGGGTCACACTGGGTGTCACATTTCTTTGCAAAGGGATCTTCAAAGGGCCTGAAGAAGCACTTGAGTGTGGTTTCACATTTCTCTCCTCATTGAAGATAGGAAACCAGTTCTGTGGGACTCTTGCCCGCTGCTCCCGCTCCAGGGCCTTCTGCTTGCTCACAGGACCATAGAGTATATCATCTTCCTGGAACAATGACTCTGGGGTCTGGACCGGGCCTCTGGATAACACAGACTGCACTAATCGAGAGTACTTTGCTTGGTCTACTGCTTCGTAAGAGCTTTTTTTCTTCTGGCCACACAAATAAAGGGAAGTGGAGAAACTCGCAAGAGGGCTTGATTTTACAGAAAATCTGTTTAAACTTCTAAGACGCCTGCAGATGGTCAGAAATGGCTTCATGTTTAGACTCGTCCCCACTTACTTTTTCTAGTCTGTACAGCATACAAGCATACTGTATTGTCTAAAAAGCAAAAAGAGGGTGTTAGATTTACGAAGTTTTATATATTCAAACCATCAAAGTGAAAAGCCACACAACAAGCATCAAACGCACACACACCAAACTTCTGACTTTGGAGAAAAATCGTTCCTAAGAAAAATTCATCAAAATTATACAGCATTCGTTAAATGTCACTGTGTCGGCCGTTTGGGACAAGACACCCTAAACTTTTAGTCTAAAGTAACGTGACAAGGCCCGGTGGCACAGGCCAGGAAACTCCTGAGGCTGAGACAGGATGCGAGGTTGAGGTTAGCTTGCCTTGTCTCTGAAAGCAAAAACAAAACACCCCGATCACCGCACACACTCCAAAACCAAACTCACAAATCCTAGTTAACAATTAAACACCGACACCTACATACCAACTCTTTACTAAACATTCAGTATGGGCATTTCTCATTTATCCTCACACCCTTTTAAAATGGGTGCTATTATGACCCTGTGGTCCAGACTAGGGCGGGAGTCTTGTCTCAGGTAGGTCTGCAGGGCGTAACAACCTAATTTCAGAAAGCGACCTCTGCAGGTGTCTCCCATGGCGGGGACAGGACAACTGTGGCCCCTCGAACACAGGGAGGGGGCTATTTTAAACTAACTCTCAGTCTACTGCAGAGTTCTGTCTGTACCTGAGGCACCACCACGTTTTTGAGCCCAGAGCGCGATCAACCTCGCCTCTCGGGACCCGTACTTCTACGGCTCCCGCGCTTTCCCTAAAGAGAGGAGGCCCCATCATGCACTGCGCGGTCCCCGCCTCACCCGGAGGCGCTCCTCCCTCCCTGAAGCTGAAGCGTGGGCACCTCCAGGTCTCGCGGTTTCGCTGTCACGAGAGCTTGCGTACGTCACCGTCTGCCGCCATCTTGGACTCTGGCTGAGCAATAAATTCGCCCTGGCGCGGTCCGCGCCCTTTCTCAAGGCGCTCCTCGTTGGGAGAGGGCTCGTGTCCCGCGTCCCCGTCCCCCTGCAGTGCTGGTGTCCGCGTGGCGCGGAGCGAGGGTAGGCCCCGCGTTGCTTCTTTGCCCGGCTCCAAGATGGACGGCAGCGGGGACGGGGGAGGCCGCTCTGGGGGAGCACGTGGCGTGCCGCTGGCCTGCGCCCGGGGCTGCTGGGATGGTGGCGGAGTCCGGCGGCCTCCAGCCGCCGTCCGGCAGGGAGGCCGGCGGAGGCGGGGCCGCGGCCGCCCCTGAAAGGCGCCCCGGCGGCGGCCCAGCCTCTTCTTTCCTCGCACAGCCAGACAGCCTCCGCTCGAGGCCCGCGTCGCCATGGCCGCGGTTCCCGAGTTGCTGGAGCAGCAGGATGAGGACCGCAGCAAGGTGAGGTCCTCCCTGCTTCGCTCCCTCGAGTCGCAGGTCCCGCCGGCCTCCCTGGGCTGGCAGTTCCTTCTCTGGGGTGCGGGAGGTCTTCACTAGGAAAGTATCTGCCAGACCCGCTCTTCCCTCCACCCCATTCCCAACCGCCCTTTACAAATGCTTTTATTGTGGGGTCTCAGAGCACCCTCGTTCTCTGACCGAGGAGAACCAGACAGCCGATTGGTGTTGGTGCGGAACCGACAGACACTCTGCCAGTCATTTTGAGTGCGGCTAATCTCGGAGACCTTTGGAGCAAATTTAAAGGCCCCCAAAACTTGGCTTTTGGTAATTGGAAAGTGAGTCGGAGGTTCGCTGGCGATCCTACCCCCCTTTTAAGAAAACGGCCTTTTCATTTAAGCAAGTGGGAAAATTCCATCAGGAATCTGTAGTATGTTTCTTGCAACTCAAAGCTATTAGTGTCCTTGCGAGAGTTGTAATTTTTAGTAAATCCTGTCTGTGGTTGATGTAAGCCCCGAGCTGCAAATATCTTGGTCTGATGCAATAACCGGAGATTAATATGTAGGCTACTAAAAATCCCAGTTTTATTGGTACTTTAAATTTGAATTTTCCATTGCACAAGTAGTAATTTAAGAGTCATAATTTATGAAGACTCATCAGTATAGTTTTTCCAACAAGTGAGTTTAAAAGGAATCTAAAAAGTATATTAGGAGCTCTTAGGTTTTTTTTTTTTAAAGAGCTGAATTAGATTTTTAAAAACTATCTTTGAAACAAACTGTCATCTAGTAAGTAAATACCAGTCTGGAGCTCCAGTTGGATTGTTCCAATAACGGTATCGTTGGAACAAGGGTGCTGTGTTGAAATAGAGCTTTGTAGGTGATGTTTTATTTGTTTTACACTAGAAGAATTAGCACCTTTTCTCTAGCATTTAAATAGATATTGAATGGGTTTTGTTTTTTTTTGTTTTTTGTTTTTTTTTCTGAATGGGTTTTTGATGGCTATTTTTTCTGATACTTGTTTCCTTATAGGTTGGAGCAAGCAGAATCAGCTATGTAAAATGACTTGACCACCTATTAATTGCTAATAGATTTTAAAAATGAGTTCACCATAACCTTGATCCACCAGAATTGGAGATGATTAAGGGTTTAGTAAGTACAAACACATAACCTGTAGCGGAGAAAACTTTGCTTCCTTCTCATTTGAGTTAGAGAAGCCCTGAGGTAAATTACTGCTTACAGCACGTGGTTTCATTTTTTGTTGCCTGATCTGTTCTAGGCTGTGGCAGAGCTGGTCTAGGTGGTAGAAGTCTGAAGAAAATTGGCAAATTCAAAATGGAACTGGAGTTCAAGTTGAGAAAAATTGTCAGCTAATATATTTTATTATTTTTAGATATTCTTAATTATTTAGCTTGGCATTTGCATGAAGGTGTAATTCTTGTATTTCATCTAGTGACTAGTCCCCGGAGTTAAACTAATAAAGAATTAGAATTGATTCTTAAGATTTTGAGGATGGTGGTGGGAATGAAACTCTGGGACTAGATCTCCATGTGTCTTGAACCTTTTTGGTCAGGCTTCCAGATACTGATAGTCATTAGAATTGACATACCAGATTGTGTCTTGGTGGGGTCCTTCTAATTTAGGGTAAATCAAGTGCAACAGTATTGTTTGTGTTGGGTTCTCATTGTCCCAGGTATCTCTTCCATTTTGAAAAGTTTGAGGTATTTGTTTTTTTGTTTTTGATTTTGTTTTTTGACTAGATGGAAGTGGTGTTTGCATACAGTCCCGAAGGCTCACTTCAAGGCCAGCCCGGACTAGATAGTGACACATGTCTCCTAAGAAAGCTCTGAAAGGGTATGGTATCCTGTGCCTTTAATTTCCAGCATTTGGGAGGCAGAGGCAGGATCTCTGGAGACCAGCCTGGTGGGGCTGTATAGATACTCTGTCTCCAAAAAAGAAAACTTTGAAATAAGTTCAAATGGCTATTCTACAGCCATTTAAAACTAGGGATTCTCTTTGTTGGAGGGCTGGGGATGTAGCAGTGGTAGCTTGTTTGTCTAACATGAGCAATGCCCTGAATCCAGTCCTTAGTGCCTATAATTTGACTGGAACTTTGACTGGAGGGTTGGTTATGTGAACTTAATAAAAAGGACGTCTGTGCTCAGACCTAGTGGCAAAAACTAAACTTTTTATAAATACTTACGTTAACTGATTGTTAGTATAGACAGCCTTGAACTTTGATCAGTACTGTAGTGAGTGTAAATTTATCAATTTTGTGGAGTGGAGTTTTGCAGTGTAGTCATATGACTCAGGAAGTGTGACTTCTCCAAGCGGCCCACGCCTTAGTTCTGGATCAGCAACTTGCACATGGTGTCTTAGTGACCGTCCCATTTGTGAACACTTCAGCTGGTTATGCTGTATTCAGGTTTTGGCCTCAGAAAGTAGCCTGCCAACTGGATTTTCTGGGTTTGGATTACTATGATCTATCTAAGTGCTTATTGAGATTTTATAAGTCTAGAGTCTTAATTTTAAGGCAGGCTTTCTATCAAACCCATTTTGGGGGCCTGTCTTTTCCTTTGTAGGCTGCTAATAGTTTCAGTGGAGTTGGCAGTAGGCACCTCTCCTGGCTGCAAAACACTCTCAGGTGTTCTTTGGTACTGAGCAAATTTACCCTTAGTTGAGCATCAATCATGAGATTAAAGCAGCTCTCTAAAATAGTGTGATAGTGGGGTGAAGGTTGCTGGTTTATTGCAGAGGTTTAAATCTATGATTGATGGGTTGAGAAAGAAAATAACAGGCTATGCTAAACTTGAATTGCTGAGCATTTGAAACCTTTTCCAGATATGAGGAACTTCATCAAAGGTAATAAAGGGTGGACTTCAAGTTCTTTGCATTTTATTTGGCATTACAATAGTACAGCTGTGCTTGCTATCTTTGTGAGTGATGCTAGGTTTGGATTTGGGGAACCTGAAGTTCTTGTATTACAGAACTCTATGCAATTCACCTAGAAATGGATTGCTGATTGGTTGTATAAAGTCTTGCTGTTGCTGCAAGTGGCTGACATCTCCATTTTGTTTTGTCAAGAGAGGGTTTCTTTTTCAAGAAACAGCCCTGGCTGGCCTGTAGACTGGGCTGACCTCAAACCTGCAGATCCACTTGCCTCCTTCTGGAAGGTGCTAGGATATCTCAATTTTTTTGAGAGGGCAGTTTTCATTATTTTTAGACAGAAGGGAACTACATACAGGGCAAACATCTTGTATGTAGTAAACCTAAGTAACACTTCAATTGAGAGATTTTTCTGTATAATCTAACCTTCCAAAAGTGACTTAATTGCCAACATGTATGTACCTTCCCCCCTTTCAATTAAGTTTGTGTGGGCATGTGGAAGTTTGTTCTCCTCCAGTGTGGGCCATCAAGGGATCTAGCTCAGGTAATCAGGCTTGGCCACAAGTGCAGTTTTTGCTGACCCCAGCACCTATTTTCTGGTGAGCCATTGAAGATCCTTTTAAGAGTGGGAAATGGAAGTTTTGTGATTATTTGAGTATAGTTCAGATAGCTAAGATCTCTAGTGCCTGGGCTTGCAGCCTTGTGAAATGATGATTTTGTTTATCCATTCGCTGAGTGCGCTGCACTGACCTTCTTCCCAGCCTCAGTTCCTGTTCTGGGAACTTGGGGCTGAGTAGCCTCCAATGCCCTGCTGTCTGCAGTGTTCTACTGCGATTGCTTGTGTGTTGGTAGACTATTACTGGTAAGAATGGCTGGTGTCAGCAGGGATGGGTCTCTCTGGGTTCCATCTCACCAAGATGAGTGGTGCAAATCTGATCACTTATTGCAGCCCTTCTAGTTCATGTTCATAATTATTTCTTATATTGTGTGAGTGTACATTTCCCACTGTTGAGGTAAGAGATGACCTGACTGGCTGAGCCATTTAAATGGGGAGTTTCAGTTTTTTGTGCACTAGTACCACATGTATTGTTGACATGATAAATACCGTAAATTTAGTTGTGGGGACACCAGACCTTGAGCAGAGACCCGCTGACACGACATTTAGTTATCTTCAGAATATGAGTAAACTGATGATTTGATTCACTTAATACCAACATTTGAATTTAGGACTGTTTTTCCTGTGTGTATACATTTTTTTCCCTGCATAGAAATGGGAAGTAGAGGGAGGAGGATCTCAGTGAGTTCCAGGCCAGCCTGGTCTACAAAGCAAGTTACAGGACTTTG